TACCCGCCTTCTGCCACGTCCGGTAGCTGGGGAAGACGGCCTTACCCGCCTTCTGCCACGTCTGATAGCTGGGGCTGGACCCTCAATAACAGTCAGTATTGCACTACAGCAATATGAATTTGTCCAGGACACACAGTGGGCATGAAATGAGACAGAACTTCAGCTCTCCTGGCCTAATGACAGATTCTTAATGGCAACCACATGCGTCTGGGCAGGAGGAGAAGGAACAGGAACTACAACACGTGACATTTCAGCAAAACTTATCACACTCCTTACACCTTTAACTTGATAGCCGCTTTGGTAAATCATATTCATTTTGACCTCACAGATACTCTTCAGTCCTCACAGCATTGCTGCTTGTTTATTATTGTCTTTCCACCACAAAGCTGGACCGTTCCTGTGCGGAATTCACTATCTGCCTTCTCTGATTGATCACTTGTATGAAATGAACCTTGATCAGACTCACCCTCCCTCAACTGGTGCGAAACTAATTGACATTCCACTGTTTCTGGTTGAGAAATTTCACGTTGCTTGAAAAAACGTTACAAGGTGATGCGAATGACTTGATAAAATGACCATCTGAGTTGCCATCGTGAGGCTTTAGTCAGGTTGGTATGATAACACAGCACAACCCAAACTGAAGCTCACAGAGAAAGTGACACGGCTAATGTGACATTTTAATGGCCTCAGACGTACATGCAGGCTGCTGGGTCCCTCCTTTCTGGGAATTACAGCCCTGCTCTGTCGTAATTCCCAGAAACTAATAACCGGTTGTTTTTCCCACATGACCTCTGACCTCCTACCACTTTTCTTTCTCTTCATAATGTCACAGCCATCCAGGTTGTTCAGAACTACCAACACACGCATGCCCCAGTTACGACGACACGAGCCTTGGTTACGCTTGACCCTTGACCTTGCCCCCCTCCTCCCCCCAACTTGCTAAAGTGCTAAAACTTCCAACCTGGGCAATTCCGCAAAGATGGGAAAGAACTAAGAGGCTTCAGGACAGTCCTGGAGTCCGCTATGCTGTTATAGGCCTGATCCGCTCTATGAAGACAGGGGTGATGAAAGGAAGAGGAGTGACTGAGGGATTCTCTCCTCAAAATGCAGATGGTAAGACCAATAAATCTGCCCAAGATAAAAAAAGAAGACATCGTCCACTGAAGGACAGTGCGTGGACAGCAGATAGTGTTGAGGTTAAGGATTTGGTGAGGGAACATAAATAGTATCAGAAGAAAAATCTAGCAATAAAAACTGATAAAGGAACAGTAAACGATACACGTCTGTTTGGAACCTGCACCTGCCGGGTAAATAAAACTCGCAGAAGCTGGCGCTTCCTATTCGCTGAGGCTGCGTCCAAAACCTCCCCAAACCACCAGTTTGGCCAAGATGTTGATGCTGTTTACGGCAAGCGAGACAAAACACATTTGTCAGCCTCTCGACCTCAAATCGGATCAAGCGGCCAGTCGCTCGCAAAAAGCAAAATGAGGGATTAAAAAAGCACTCCTTGCTAAATCAGTATTTCTTCACAGAACAGAAGTAAATTACATAAAGACGGCAAGTCATTCTCTTTTGACTCGATGTGTGGATTACTCCTTGATTAATCACGCTTTAATCTAAGGACAGAAATTATAGTTTCTCTGTCTGAGAGAAATAAGATTATTTGATGTGAGGCAGGCAATGATAATTTTTTTCTTCCCATCAGCTATTCTTCATTGCCGTGGATCGCAACTCAATTATCTTTCTGTCAGACGATTATCCAGGGGCTTAATTTAATCTTCATTACCCTCCCCAGCCGTAGTTCAATTAAACATGCTATCATAGCGTTAACACATATTTAAACCTGTTATTCCTCCAGTCCATTTTCCACTGATAGGTACTGCAAGGATAACAGATGTCATAATTATGCAATTATTAAGCATAACTCACACTTGTCCTTGTACTGGAAGCTCGTGGGGAGGCCTCGGAGCACGAGAACATTAATCTAATGACAATATGCTTTAGTCGTGATCTATAATACCGCCGCAATCTGCTCTGGCTGTGCTTAATTGCGGCACAGACTGCAGCGGGGAGCTGAAGGAGGTTAATGTATTAGCAGGCTGTTTAGGAGACCTGCTATGCCCTGCGTCTTCCTGGCTAAACCATCTTCCGGCCCACTGGCACCAGGCAGCCAATGGCAGGCAAGGCAGGAACTGGGCGGAGCCACAACTGGGAAGATAATGCTGGGAAGTCACCACAACAGGCCCTGCGCCTACCGGGCCACGACAATTCACTGGCCAGGATCCGGGGCTGTACGGTGTATATTTTTGACGCCACATAGCTACATAGATAGAGGGCCATGTAAAGACAGAAACAGACATGCAACCACACACACACGTGCTATCGGGTTCACAGAGACGCAAAGGCTTTCACGAGGATGTGAACAGCACACGGGGGAGGCGGTCAGTGTCAGCCCAGCTGATATGCAGCTGCTGAATGAGCCGGAATGCCATGTCTATAAGAATTTGTAAACACCTTTATAACACATTATAATGCATTCATAAAGCATTATAAACATGATTATACATATTTATAAAAAGGCATGACGCATAATAGTCAGGTTTAGTCATGAATGCTTTATGAAGCTCTCATCTATAATGCACTATAGATACCTTCATAATGGAGAACAAAGCATCTTTAATTTCTATACTGACCATTATAATGCATTATGTAAGTTTCAATCAAAATAGACGAAAGCTTCATTGGGGCTTATGAAGTATTATAATCAACAATATAAAGACTTATGACTGTCTATAGAAGATATTGTAATGTTTTATTCATTCTTATACTGGCGACTATAATGCATGAAGGTATCTGAAGTGCATTATACAGTAGATGACAGCTTTAAGTAAAGTGTTACTAAGAACTCACCCTTCAGCCGCTCCTGACCCCATGACCTGGAAGTAAACAGTATTACACTCAGCAAAGGTCTGAGGCCTTCCTGACTGACACAAGAAAAAAACATTCAGCTGTAAACTGATAAAACTATCTTAAAACTTGACTTTTAACTCTTAGGATGCTCTTCTCCAAACATATATTACAGCAATAAGTAGTGTGCAAAAGCATATGGAAAAAAAAGTAATATGTGAAATGAATCTTGAAGAAGTAGTATCTCATTTCAGAATTCAAGATACTTGGGACTGAAACGTCTCCAGGAATTAAAAGAGACGCATATTTTGAAATCCAAAGGGCATGTTTGACATTGAAAGCAGATTTGTAGCTAAACTAATTTGACAAAGGTAAGTCAAAGCTGCAGGCCATATTCTGGAGCAGTACTCGCAATGCAAGAAACCTTGAGGACAACCTTCGACAGTTCATATTAACATGCGGGAAACCTTAGGCAACCTTTAGCACTGCCAGTACTCGAATGTGAGCAAACTTAATGTAAGAAGACAGCTCTGCAGTGAAGCCAGTCCCCTTATTGTACAATACAATGATATTACCAGACACATGCATTGAAAATCCACTAAAGGCGAGCTGAACGAATAAGACGGAACTGCATTATGAAAATCAGCCACTTTTAGAGCCTGCAGCCCCAGCACAGAAACATGCATTCCGACCAATCTGGCCAGTACACGAATATGACTTTAATCACACGTTATGGTTGTTGTATTACATTAGAGCAAATCTGGGAAGTATTTGAAGTGGAGCACTGTAATCGCTGTAATCTCAAAGGGATATCCTGGCGACTAATTTTCAGGATAAACAGTAATATGAATAATATGCAAGCAGTGGCTGTGGGGGGAGGCAGCTAGTGGGAGGAGCTAGAGCACATTCTATACAAGGACACTGGGTGATGGGATGGAGGGGGGGCTTCCTAAGACCACACAGGGGAGGTGTGTGGTAGTGAGCTGAAAATATGCTTCCTGTAGGACATAGCAAGGTGTGTGTGTGTGTGTGTGTGTGTGTGTGTGTGTGTTTGGGAGCCTCTGTCTGTATCTGATACGTACAAGATCAGAACCACACTACTGAGACAATATCGGCCGGATATAAACTTCATTCAGATTATAAGTAGGGGCATCGGAGGGGCATCGGAGGGGCATCGGAGGGGCATGGATACACTGGCAGATTCATGGGGCCCAGCATTTTATAAGGGACCCCTGCCGCACATTGTGTTAATGACAATAAAAAAATTAATTGAATTGTATACGAAAAATGATTAAATCTCCGATATGCAAACTTTAAAGTACGGGACCCCTTCCCCAGCTCAGTAAATTCATCCCCCCCCCCCCATTGTGAGAGACCCATAGTTCTTCAGATTGAAAGTGGCAACCCTAGCGGGAGACCCAAGGTGACATTTTGTCAGGGGACCCAGAATTTCTATCCACACCCCGGACTGTAGGCATAAACAAAGGCCTGACTTTCAATAAAGTTTTTGTTGCATTTTAAGAGGGCTGTGATACCTGCCAAGATGAGGAAGTCAATGTATGAAGGCCATTTGATCTGGCAAATAGGTACAGGGGCTGGATGAGGGAGGTGCAGAAAGTCATTGACGCTGACACCTTGATGGACAGGGGAGCTGGACAAACTTAGCCAATCAATCACTAGCTGTCGGACATGGGAGGGGCAACAAGGGGGCTGCCCTTAGCTTTGCACACAGCCGTGACCCCTGAACTTCACCACTCTGCCTGTCATCTGCTCTATTTTACACCAAACCATCAATTCTTTTTCATTTAAAAAAAAATAAAGCACCTAGAATCTTTTTCCAGTACAATTTCTCCAAGTGATTTTAACGTGTTTCTGAAAAAATATTATAAATAAATAGATTAAAATTTAAATAATAATGAGCCCACTTCACAGGGCCTTTTTATTTCCAAGGCTACATGAGTGCTCTGTCCCTCTCATCGCGCTGCGTCTTACGCTAGATTGGCGGTGAGTGTTTTCTTGTTAACTCCTAACATATGTATGCCGTAGGCAAGATTCACGCAAGTCTCTGGAAATTCTTAGGAAATGGCGATAAGTCACGGAAACGTGTAAAGAACTCTGGCAATTTTCACTTCAAAATGTTGTCAGAGAGGTACTCTACAGAAAAACGTCCTTTTTTCTCACCACCCACTGTAAAAAATTTTAATACCACGTAGCTGCACGAAAGTTACACGTTTAATGAACAACGCTTCCTGCAGGTATTTTTTAAAGCCTTTTTGCAAATGTGTTATTCTACATTTATTTACATTTGAGGCCTGTGCCAGGCATTAGTTACTCAGTGACAGACATTTCATTTGGATGGAATATCTAACAAAAACGACGCTACGCAGATGAATAAAAACAAAGGCTATTTTAAACCAAATAAGACAGCGCCAGGTGTGTTTGGGTTCTCTTCTCAGAGGTGTGGCAGCTGGACTCCGCCAGGGGGATTTTAGCTGTGACCCTCTGCTGACAGAATAGGCTCCTCAATCACAGCGCCTCCTGGTGGACCAAGCCCTAAAATCAGGAATCATCTCCACTAAGTCAACACATCTAAAGTAAAGAGTTTTGGTCATTTAAAGCCTGCTTGGTTTGTGTGGTCTCTCTCCCACTTGAGCAGGTCAGGAACATAATTTAATTATTATTGTTTTATTATTATTAGTAGTAGTAGTAGTAGTATTTAATCTAGGATAAGTTTACTAATATCTGTATATATTTACAGATGATTCAAATATTAAATACTAAACCACCAGATCAGGAACGGTCATACTGGTTAATGGAAAATGTCAATAGGATCAGAAGTACATTCGAGGGAATACTAAAAATGACTAAATCGTATAAATTCACAGCGCCCGCTGCCCAAATACATTTTAAAACTATTTTAAACGTCGATGCCTGGTTCAGAATCAAAGAACTTCCGCATATCAAGGACAAAAAGGCAGCCCTCCGTTTTACCAAAATAAAAAAGATTCCCGTTTTATGTACTGTATTTTATTGCAATTTGCCATCTGCGCCGACGTGTGCTAATAGCTATGTGTGACTTTTTATACATACGGCAAAACACGCATCCATCTGTCATGTACAGCAATCTCACATAATGCAGCCGCACCTTTACGCCAAACAACTGCTGTTTACTCACAAGGTGACAGTGAATCGGGGTGATTGATGACAGGCGCGCGCTCGCTCGCCAAATGCGCCCCTCGCTTGGGGAGAAACGTCCCCTTATATCATACTGCACTAAAAAAGAAGAACGATTAATACATATTAATTGGCCTTAATATGATCATAGGCGTTAATAATTTTGTAGTCGTGTTTGTGTTTGTTGCATTTAGTGTTTGTTGCATTTTAAGTACCTTTTCAATTTTATCGTTTTACTTATATAAAAGTTATCCACCACTATGCAAAAAGCATATAAAACTAAATAAAACAATACAATCAAATTGTTAGATGTTAGAATCGGAAAATAAATCGATATCTTTTACGGTAACACTGGAGTAAATGGTGATCGCAGTAACGGAAATAATAGTGTTGTACAGCCCTCATCCCCTTTACATGTAGCTATAAGTACTTTTGAAATTTCCATCCTTGTAATTGGTGTTTTGTTTTTTTTATTTTATTTTATTAGCGTCCCGTTTAACACCCGTGATCCGGTAAGGGGGCTGTATCCGCAGCGCTTACGAACTTCTCCAGTGGGATAATAATCAAGTGGCAGTTTGGGAGCGTATGGATGGGGATCAGGGCGCCCACCCGTTTCGTTTATTTCTGCGTGCTCTTCTGACAATTTTATTAATGATCAGCCGAGGGGGGCTGCTGAAAGTGTTTGCCAGGAGGAGCTCACGGTCTCCTGACTTGCCCACAACACCCACGCCGTCCCGGAGTCCGAGGCAAAGACGCACCGAAACGTTAATCCCCACCTGACACTAATACTTGATGTATGACTGACCTCACGGCAGGCTGCATGTCGTTATGCTCCCAGCCATATGGCAAGACATTAGCCCTTTACCCTTTAACGGGATAATCTCCGCGGGTCTGGCATGGTCTCCCTTCGGAGATTTCTTTGGGTAATAACTGCATGACATCATTAAGGCGCTGGGACAGATTTAAAAGAGAACTCGCCATCTAGCAAAAAGGATGAATCGAAGTATAATAAACAGTAACCTGGGAAAAGCCAGCCGCTATAAAACCATACAGTGTTTAATTTCACAGTATTCACGGAAGACAGCTCACTACACAGCTAATAGATGAATGATCAAAAAAAAAGTCACACAGCATTTTGCTTATTGATGCAGGCTGCAGGCTTCAAATGGGCTTAGTTTATATTTCAGATGCATCAGTCTTTCTTTGATATTAACAGTCAATTTCTGACTTTCTGAACTCTGGAAGTTTATGTAACTTGCCTTCATGAAAAGTGGCCATTAGATAGTCCTATATGAATAATAAAAGGACTTACATGTATAAGCATGTTATTGCAGCAGATGTGTGTAGCATTGAACTGAATCAGCGTACTTTGCCTACTTTGTTTAGATGTGGAACCAGAAGCTCATAGAGTGAAATCCTGGGTAACTTATTACTGCACCACACACTGAGGAAGGAGCACAGCTGTGTAGCTAAAGGTGGACAAAAGGTTAATGGCGGATTCGTGGGAGAGCGTCATCTGAGCAAACAAATGAAGTGACAGCTCAATTCTGTAGGGCTGTGCGCTGTCCCGGCTGGGGTGTTGACCACCCAGCGCATACGCACCTCAGTCCTCCTCTGTCCTCCAAGCAACTCATTTACTTCAATTTTTCCCCCTCCTCGTGACAGTTGTTGGAGTGAGACCCCACAGACCGCTAGCCCCTCCCCCCCCCCCCCCCCCCGACAACTTTCCAAGGTCCTTCAGCGTGTTTGATCCGTGGCCCTGCCGTGTCAGCGGCCGTGATTGTGCTGGAACCTTTTCTCCCTGCTCAGCCCCTGGCCCCGTAATGAACAAATTCTCCGTGCATTACCCTGGACTTGATCTCTAGCAAAACACTGCTTCGGCAAACAATTTAGTTTGTCAACACCTTTCCTGGGACTCTTCAATCAATGTCGGGGGTCCAAATTTAAACAGCAAAGTGCATCTGACTGCAGGACCCCGGACTGATTACACTTCCTAGTTCAGCGAATTGCTCCAGACAGGACAGCAATCTGATTACTAACCCGGCTTGAAAATACTCTCCGCTGCCTGGGATTAACATGAATATTTTGATATAGATCGATAAGCAATCTCCACTCTATAAGAAATGCCAGCGGCATTCATTTGGCTGATCAAAGGGACATCAGCTGCTGGTGACAACTACCTATTGTTTGCCGACTCCGTGGAGGAGGCCGATTCCGTGGAAAGAGGACCAGGGCCTTTGGCTCCACTTCACCTGGTCCTGGAAGCAATATCTGCTTCACAGGATCCCATCTCCAGCACTGGCCGAATCCAATTAGCCTGACACAGGGGCCATAGCAGCAGACGGCCTTCCATTAGCCATCGCCGCTATATGGACGGAAAGGCCACCGCATTTATTTATGTATCTACCTACAGTACCTGTTTATTTAGCCCCGTGAGATTGAACGAATTCACTTGTTTCCAGCCAGACGTTTCCAAAGCACAGACATTCATTGCCTGGGAGGTCAGCCTGGCATTCCCAGTACTAATTTTACAAGTGATTATGACCAGGAAACAAGCAGCCAGCTATTAATCTATAGCTCTTTATTATGCCGTTTTTACTTGCACTCCCTGTTTACCGAGCAGGATGCCCTGATACCGGCTGTAACTTCGCTGTTTTTCTTAGACCTTGGTTCAGATGGCCAGGCATTTATACGATGGAGCTGTGGCATGGAGCAGCACATCTGTTTGGGAAAAGCGGGGGGCTTTACTGGGGTAGGATCAGGTAGGGATGGCAGAGCACCAACAAGACAACTACCGAAGCGGGAGAAGCCTAGCAGCTTTCACAGGGACTGGAAAGCAAGAATAAACGTTGGGAAGGGTCATGAAAGGCTCACGTATCTGCTGTGGCCTGCAGGAACGAAGGAGAATATTACAAAACATATCTACAGAATTCACAGACTGGAACACATCCTTAGTTATATCCCACCCACAGTGTGACAAATGAGACAGCCCTGCATATGCACAGCCCTTGGGACCGTTCCACGAGCCATCGCACAGAGGGGTGGCCGAAACCCAGCCTGCCCCATCACACCCGGCTCGTGGACATCAACCCGGTACCAACATATGAACAAGCCCTGTGCATGGGGTGACGGTCCCCCAACACTTACATGACCACACACATGAACTGCAAATAACCTCCACCCAGCCCTAACCTTAACCATAAGTAACCAAACAAAATACAAGATGTTTGGCATTTTTAGATTTTTGATTGCATTCACAGGTGGTGGAAAAAAAGCTGGTCCCCACACCATCAAAATAAGTTTTTATCATATTGTGGGGGCATTTGGTCCCCACAATGTAATAAGTACATGCCCCCCCTGTGAAATATACAGTGGGGATTTAATCTTTTAAAATCTCCTCTCCTAACTGTCTTACACAAATCACTACGAGTCAGTCGCTAATTATGCATCTGAGCCTTCATTCTGTGATCCTGTGCATCCTCTCCTCAGGCTCCCCGTCCTCAATCTAACCCTCAACCGCTTCCCAGGTCCCAAGAGATAGCGGCACCAGCCCAGAATAGTGACATCTGGGCTTTTTTAAGGGACTCTGCTCTTGGTGGTACGGTTAGCTTATGCGAGTAAAAGCCGTAAATGCAGACCATCTGAGAAGCAATAACGGCATAATGAGATGGTCAGATAAAGCGATGCCTGGAATCTAACAGGGCACATTTATTCAGGGCAAATAACCATATTAAGAGTAAAGGTTATGTGCACTTTATATTATAGCTCAAATGGAGGAAGGATGCACTGTTTTCTTCAAACAAATTTATTAGGGATGATGTTTCAGTCCTGGAATGGATCTTCATGAGGTTACTGAGTGTTTGGCCTAGTAATGGTATGTCTTCAAAGTTTGTAGGAACAGCACATTTTATAATTTAGAAACATGAACACATTACAGCCCATATCTATTTACAAACATAATGCACAATTTCTTTCCATTATAAACAGATTATGTTCCATATTCATCAAAGGAGGATCCGTCTTTCATGGCACTCGTGCACACTGGCTTGTGGGCTACAGCTCTTGAGCGCTCTGTAAACTTTAAATCAGCGTGTACGACACGACGCACGTCACCGCCACAGCTCAGCTCCGCGGCCCGCCGTAGCGACAGATGCAGCGCGAGCGCCGCTGTTTCTTCTGCATATCAATGTCTGATTTACTGCCCAAATCCACAGACAGCTGGTTATCTCCATGTTTATGTTATTACTCCTACATGTTTTGGTTATTATAACCTTGAAATATTTCAGCGTGAGTGTTTTGCTTTCCATACAGGCCAAAATGTTGAAGTTCAGAGATGACGCACCTCGTGCCTTGGAGAAGGCAGTGACCAAATCCTTCGCCCTGGATGTTGTACAAGTGTGGTCACCGTGGTCCTCTCGTGATATAAATCCAACAGCCAAACCATCGCTGTTCCCCCAACTGCTTCAGTGGGAGCACAGAACCAGGCCCCCCTCTGAAGGACTGCGTGAAGTGAAAAAGCAAATAAGGACATTTTTCTGAGACCACATTCCCCACACTGTGCAAAGCTAAATTAATTTACTGCATAACAGTTTCCCTAATTTAAACTAATCATCTATATATTTTTTTGGGTTGGTTTGGCTGCAGTTTATTTTGTTTTTTCTTTACAAATCGAATTAAATTGCCGCCAAATTAGATTACGAATGCAAAAATAAAAAGGACTATAGAGAATTTCACAGGAAAAGACCCAATGCCGACCAACCTAAGCAAACCACACATATCTGTCATAAACACACATGAAACAGCCCTGTGCCTGCGTGCCATCATCAACCGAAGTGTAATTATGCAGTTCTATACCCTAACACCAGAGGGAGTCACTCATCAGTGGGTGATTGACGAGTGAGTCACTAAACAAGAAAAACCAGCGATGGGATCTTAATTCTACATAAGAAAACCAGCAGTGATGATTCTTCTCCCTCATCAGCACTGTTTTCCTTTATATACTGAGGAAATTCAGGTTGAGAAGGCAGCACTGCAGCTATTCCCTCCTGGGACTGGAACCAGCAACCTCTGGGTCAGAAGCCTGCTTCCTGAACCACTTCAGCACTTCCTGGCATGCCCTGCGCTAACAGCATGGTGAGTAGCCTTCGGCTAACGCAGTCGGTGGTCCTAGAACAATATAGCTTTGTCCTTCCTCCAGAAGTGTGTCTCAGCACCTTTTTAGGGCCATAGGTCTGTCACCTTCCACAGACCTTCAGAGGAAGCACCAGTCCGTAGGGCTGCAGATTCTGGTCCAACACAAACAATATAACTAGAAGGATAATCTATTTGCCGCCATCATAAGTTACGCTGCTCCTCAAATATATGTTATCGTGTTACATACCACAAATGCTGATATGACTACTTGGGGCACTGCATAAACAATTACAAAGAAATGCCTTTCGATTATTGTTAGGGTGTTCACTTTAATTGTTCATAGTCCTGTATTATTGATGTCACTACTGTTCAATCAATGAGATAGAGGCTGATAATTTACTCAGTTTTAATATGCATGCCAGAGAATTTTAATTAGTCCCAGAATCAGGGTGAGGATGGTTTCAGGACTAGTAGGACTGGAGAAACATAGATTTCATTTCTGTTATTGAAACTGTTAACATCCCTATGTGTATGTCTACAAATGGGATCTATTGCTTGTACATGTGTATATATCATATTTTGAATTGGCTTAATTACCCTAAGAAAGAAAACATTTATTTTCATCTGGTGTAGGTAAACCAGATTGTCAGGCTTAAATCCCCTGAAAATAAAATCTAAAGATCTTGGTCTCACCTAGTTCATAAGATGCACTATAGCTATAACTGTACTAAATGGACTTTAATTCTGATTGACCAAACTGGTTTAGTACCACTTCCATGATACAAATGATCTCAAAATGCAGAATGTTTGTATGGACACTGATATTCATACTACAACTGCATTATAAAGCATTTGTTTCCATGAGATTCTGTCCAGTCCTTTGAAATCATCAGGATATAGCAGGTGTCCATCCCATGGAGCACCATCCCCCAGATCCTTCATCTTGGCCCGACATCACTTTGTGTGCTGTGAAGGTAGAGGTTTCACTAAACCGGACTTAAATGACCCCGAGGTCAGAGCTAAACGCCTCTCATTTGGGCTCTGCTGCAGGCTTTCATGAGCATACTGCAGCGCCAGTCAGCCCCCCCCACCCGACAGAGGAAACCAGAAAGATACCGGGAGAGGTACTGGGAGTAGTACCTAGACTGGTTGTAGACTAGCATGGTCCGGTACCTTTGTGTGACTGAGACTGAGGCAGATGGAAGGTTTCACTACTTCAGGTTCCCTCACCCAACCAGCCACCCCCAGTGCAAGTTGTCCCCCGCAAAGTCATCCCGAGCGTGGAGCGGCGGATAAGGGGATGGATAAGGGGACGGATAAGGGGACGGATAAGGGGATGGATAAGGGGATGGATAAGGGGACGGATAAGGGGACGGATAAGGGGACGGGTAAGGGGACGGCACGCCGAGGGCCCGGAGCACAGAGGTGCAGACGGAGGCTCGTGAATCAATGGTAAAAAACGAGAGCTGAAGCCTTTCTTTTTATCCGCAGGCTTCGTGGTTTTGTAGCTGAAGTACATCTACTGTAAATATGATACACACTCACACACTAAAAGCCCCACATAAAAGTGTCTTTAAAGAACAGACGCATCCTTCTTTGTTTAGACTAAACGAGGCTGGAAAAAAAACAGCAATTTGGCGCAATGGTCATAAAACATGCCCCCTACCCCACATAACCTCACTCTGCATATACACATATTGTAGGCCTGAGGTTAAATCATAAGGGATAGACGCATTTAAGAAGGGTGGTGGGGGGGGGGGTGTCACGTTTCTGAGTAATAAATAGCCGGGATTGATCTGACCTCCCAGCTGGTCATGCAGTTCACTTATACACAAGTTAGAGAAATAGGTGCCCCCCCCCCACCATGCCCCTCCAGGGATCCATTGCAAGGAAATCAGATAGCCCACATTGGGTTTGAAAAACACAGAAGTCCAGGAATGTCAATATGGTCAGCTCACATCTCTCACAGCTCCCCCCCGTATCAGATTTGAATCAGCAGAAGCTCTTAATAACAAACATCTTCTGCATAGCCATTATCTCGGGCCAGGGGCCCACTGGCAACAGGTCTCCTTGCCGAAACCTCAGTGACATCGAAGGCGTTCTGTTACGTAGGGGAGAACCCCCCAGTAAGCTGAAGGGGGATCCTTGTGTTGTGTCTCTGGCTTCCAAACACAGAGTTTTCCTTGGAGTGATAGAAGCCTGAAGTGTTGTCGACTGTAACATGAGCGAAAGAAAAAAAAAATTGATCCTGAATCGAAAGGAAGACTTTTGGGATCGAGGATTGAGCCGTTTATCGCCTAGCGACGTGTTAACGGCTGTCCATCACTGACCAAGAGGAGGACGGCAAGAGGAGGAGTCGGCACCTCCTCCATTAAGGAAGGCAGCTGGACTGCCCACACGTGGCGTGTGGAACAGAAGCGGACAGGTGCAGACATTGGCTTTGGCTGCGAACGGACGACCCAACACAGAGGGTCCGGCCCGGCAGATCGCGGTCCTGCAACACGACACCGGGATGACGTCTCCGCGGGCTGTTAGCGTGAGGAGCGGGGGGAGGGAAACTGCCGAGACATCAGCCGGTAGGAATGCAGGTCTGCTTTCCAGCTGTGTAAGGCCTTCACCCAGAGCTTCTAAGACTAAGAAATTACCCCCTCCCCCCCACCCCCACCCCAACCGTCTGATCATTAAGGGTGTTTATTTCAGCATCCGCACTGCGCCCATATGCCAGTAGTGGTCGGGCCGCATCCAGACGTAGGCCGGGGAGGCGGGTGCTGGAGTGCTGAAGGCTTGTCCAAGAGCAGAACACCGTCCCAGCACCAAGCCGGCCTATGGGAGCTGCCTACGGCGGCCATCTTGGATTTGCAGTACAAACATACAAACAGGAGCCGAGAAGAAATAAAACAGCACTGCACATGTATGACTGCCGCCAAAGCACAAATCCTTGCAAGTGCATCGTCAGTTATTTGGAGCCTTTGCTGATTGGCTAGAGTCACTTGATTTTCAAGCAGGGAAGGGTGGTGTGTTTATTATATATTACATATTATTATATATTACTATATATATATAAGTTATTAGATGAGAGGACCTATCATTCTTTAACAGAGACACATAGTCAAAGCTGCTGAATAAGATAAGGCCTTTACAACTGTTGTGTTTAGGGAAATAAACCCCGAATCCACAGGGAAGTGGCAGGTGTGTATTACTTGACAGGGAAATGGGCAGGACCACAGGGGCACTGGCCCAAGCTGAAAGCTGATTGGCTGCTGGAGTGCCTCCTCCCCGTGTCACTCACTGATTGAAAACATATCACTGGCCCCTCTGTATGAATATATAGCCCCTTTTCTGCCCCCCTTCCGCCGTGTGCACATCTGCCTGCTCCTGTGGCCCCAAACCGCATCCTGACAAATCCAAAAACAGTCAGAAATGGCAGCGTCGCCTCCGGAGGGGTTTGCACCGCGCACCGCGACCCGGGTATTGACCGCTCCGCGTCGTCAGTCTCACAGCTGTGGAGGGAGGGGAGCCCAAGAGTGGCGCCGTGATAGATGATGGCAGAAGATTCAATGAAAAATCAGTTGAAAAGCACAAAGCTCTTAATGCCAAACCATATTGGTTGCTGACTAGAGCAAATAGCATCAACGTAGCACTTATGAACAGGGGCAACGGAAACCAATCATCCGCCTGAAGCAGGCTTGCGGCGACCCGGCCGCCTCCACGCATTTTTACCCTGATTAAACAGTAAATCCTCCATGTCTATCAGGCTCCCATTAAGGAAGCCCGCTTTTCAAAAACACCATTAATCAGCCGGGAGATATAGAGTAAAATATCAGTCATCAATTGTGACCGCTTATGACAGTTAACGCGCCCCCCCCCCGCCGGTACTCGCCGGGAACACGCAGTGATCTATCAATTACGAACAGCTCCGTCGCATGCTAATTGTGCATTTTCCCCTCTAATGCATTTCCACTCTTATCTCATAGGCTAATGAAACCAAACAAATCAATAAATATAAATTATACATGCAAAGAAGTACTGCTGTGAACATAAAGTTTCTAATTAATTGCACTTGATTAATTTATATACTTTAATTATCTCGGCAAGCCACAGATGGCATAAATATCCGTGCAATCTGGTTATTGCTATGTCAGTCATAAAACAGCAGACGCAGTAAAACTATTAGGCCAGACCCGCTTTGTCACGGGAAAACACACAGTCACTGACATAAAAAGGCCTCACCTCTGAATAATTTAAGGTGGACAAATTGCCACACAATACAAGGCCTGGACCCTTGATTATTGTTCTAATTTTCCTTCAGGGTTTATTACGGAGTGACACCTCCTCCATGCGTGCTGGCAG